CAATGATTTAATTTTTAATGTAGCTATTTCTAATGAATGCTATGATGAAAGCAAAACATTCCATTGTGTTGTTGATTTTGATACTTGTTATGTGTAAAGTCACTTTACTTTTTGAAAATAGTTTACAATAACGAATGGTTGTCTTTTGTCAGAATAACCGTTACCAAATATTATACCTCGACATCTTATTTGTGTTATGGTGTTCAGGGTGCAGCTTTGAAATTGGAAGTGTAAGAGATTTTACTTTGGGAACTCTTTTCTATCATTTCAGATATTTTTGTTTCAATTACAGTTCCCAATATAATGTGTTTGTGTTTTGGAAAATGCATGACCAATTCACATGACTGTGTGCTGATGTTTTTGCATAATTGTGGTAGATGATGATTTTTGTACAATTTATAATTGCCGACAGAAGTTGAAATCATTTGCATTTAGATTGTAAATCAAAATTTCATTTATCTATTTACAGTGATTTATCATTGGATATAATAATGAAAAGATTTGTTTATTGCTTTATAATGACAGATACATTGTTATATTTTTCTTTATTCAGTTTTTTTTTTCTATGTTCATTTTAAGTATGTACGACTGCTTTTCCTGACTGCTTATTGTACATTTAAGTAGAAGTATTTTTTGTACGATGATTTATCATTTTGGATGGTAATTTTTGCGTTGAATTTTCCTTGCAGAATGAGTTTTTGTTTGTGTTTTGTACAATAACCTATTATAGTAATTGCATAGTTTTTTTTGTCATGTCAATATCGTTCATAAGAATAAAAATAACGAAATATGCTGTGTAGTTTGATTTGTTGTCTTTGTGAGGAATAATACAGGTTTTAAAATATGTAGCAACTAAGCATGGCAATATATCCTCTGCTCTTGGATGATTGCCAAATCTTTTGTTTAAACAAAGTTAGCATTTTGGTATTCTATATATGCCGAGGAATGTATCGGTTGGAATATTTGAATTTATCTTTTATTTTTGAATAATATTTCATCTGCTTAAAATAATCAGTTGAAAATTCTAAATTGTTTCATTTCAGAATATTTTATTGTCCAAAATCTAGATAGACACATGGAATTGGGCAACAGGTAAAACATATAAAAGCTCTATCTATGAAGATATAAACAAGTATACTGAAAGTATAAAATGAAAGGTTAGAAATTACATCAATCAAATAAGCACATGATAGACTATTTCAAAAACATGTCATAAGTTATCATATTACATATTAGAAAGGTAATAATGCCAATAATTTAAATCTTTCCTTATTACAGATTAATTATCTTTGTAGTGGTTATAAAGGTGACTAAACCAAACCGGGCTTTCGTTAAATGATTAATCATTACAAATGTTTTATCTCGTTATATAAACAGTGACGTATTATAAGGTTATTTTTCGATAAAATATTTTTTCTTCAAGAAATATTTTCCCTTTAGATTTAACTATAAATTTAGATAAGATTGGTTTAAAACAAATATCTTACCATAACAAAACGTTATTCCCTTATCAAATTGTTTATCATATATTTTAGATATGAAATTACATGGATGTCTATTACTGTACACTTAAAAAAAGGGGTTACACAATTACATTTTTAGAATGGATCAGCTTATATATAGGTATACTAATGTTCCGTTATGATATTTTGTTTCTTAATAAAATTAGTGTCTTAATACAGTTGTCACAGAAAATTTAAACGGATTTTTTAATCACAAATTTGTAGACAAATTAAAAAAATATTTACATTTAAAGAATCCAACTTTGTAATAAACTTATCAATTCGTTTGATCAGGAGATCATTGTTCGAGTCAGCATGTCCGTCAGGAGCAGCCACAACAGCAATACCAGGAAATACCATTGTCAGCATTTCCTTTAAATTTGCATTTTAGTTGTTATAATCTGTTTCTTATCTCGCTACCAAAACTAAAGTCTTATTTTTAATTTTTCTTTTTTTTTTCTATCGTAGATATTTTAGATAAGCTCGAAGTATATATGAAACAGTACTAGCAACAGAATTGCATGTTATGGTTTTGTTTTGCAATATTGATTTACGGAGATGTTTTGTTCTGTGTACTAAATACCTTATTTAAATATTTCAATGACTCGATTTAAAGAAAAATAACAAAAAAAAAAAAAAAAGGGGGGGGGGGGGGGGGGGGGGGGGGGGGGGGGGGGGGAAGGGGGGATCTAGTTGATAAACAGACATCGGCAGAAGTAAGCACCAGTATTTGATTAGTGATTTTATAGTATGTAAAACCGTAAACTCTTATGTTGCTGAGTTGGAAAAGATATTTATTCTATGAAAAGTACCAGAAAAATAAACATGATGGCAATTCTGCAAGAGGATAATACTGCATGTATATAGAATACCAGACAGAAAATGAAGTCATGGATTTAGATGTTCTAGATTGTATTTTGTTTTGTTTCACAGACCTGTATTATATTTCAGAAATGCATTTACATAATGATCTATATTGATACATAACTGATATTACATAGGAAATACAATGTACAACTGCTGGTCAGCATCACTGACGAGTCCTATAAGGACGTAATATCAATATGATGCAGTTTAATTCCATTGTTTGGCTCTACTGTACACCACTCCAAATTATGAAAAGGTGTTACCCACTTGCGTGTCTTTGGTACAATCTTTGCTTTACACATTTTAATTAAAAAACTCATCACTTGAGCGTTAAAAGACATTTTTATACGTGAAATAAGTGAAAGATTGGTGTATATTTCTCACATGGTGGATCATTGTAAGTAAGGAGAATCCTCAACGTTTGACTAGTAGGGCTCCAGAAAGCTAACAAGATTAGGAAGAAACATTAATTTTGTCAGTAATTATTACAATACACGCGCATTACTAACAAAAAAAGATAATATTGACAACTTATCTCAGTCATTTCGTTTCCAGCGGATGAGTGTTGGTTTGGAATTTCCTTGTTTTTTCTGTTTGAAAAATTAATTTTAAGTATTTGGTTCGGATTCACTTAAACTCGTTATTGGTAACCCCAAATTCACTTGCACTAAGCGCTGATTGGTTTGATTTAAACATATGCCAGGCAATTCGTGTTTCCTCCAAATTAGCGACACTTTCATGGTATGTTAAAATTGTCGTGCATTTAAGTAATCTAAGAGCATATTCTGTAGCGACGAAAGTCATCTTTGCTCATATTCTCTAGCGACGAAAGCCACCTTTGCGCATATTCTGTAGCGACGAAAGCCACCTTTGCGCATATTCTGTAGCGACGAAAGCCATCTTTGTGCATATTCTGTAGCGACGAAAACAATCTTTGCGCATATTCTGTAGCAACGAAAGCCATCTTTTCGCATATTCTGCAGCGACGAAAGTGATCTTTTCACATATTCTGCAGCGACGAAAACCATCTTTTCGCATATTCTGTAGCGATGAAAGCCATCTTTGCGCATATCTTTAGCGACGAAATCCGTCTCTGCGCATATTCTGTAGCGACGAACGCCATCTTTGAAAGCTCAGTTAAGTTCGGTTGCATTCCAATAAGATGTACCATACTGTATCGACTGCTGACATAAACATTAAAACAGCGTTTCGACAGATGCATGTTGATGAAGAGTATGGACAGTTTCTTTTGTATCCATTTTGATCTCGGCAAATGTTCTTAAAAGTTTAGTCGTTAACAACCCGATTCCAATTTTCATGAGCAAGACGACCTTCCTTTTAAAGCATTTACTCGCCTTGAACTTTCCCTTCTTTTGTCATATTTTACCTTCATTTTATCAATTTTGAGTTTGAATTGATATGTTATTTATGTGTCGGTAAGGTCCTGGTGTTGCCTTCATTTTTTTTTATTTCAAACGTTTCAAAGTACACATTACCTAAACCTTCAATTGTTGAAAATCCTTTTGCTTGTGTTCAGGGTACAACACCAAAGACTACATGATAGAAAGAGATTCGATGTACTTGATGTTGTTTTGAACATATCAGACCTATGAAAATTACGAAATTTATTTAATTATGGGGCTAGTGCACGTCCACATCTAGATTCTGATTTTTCATTCGGTCACTTTGGATTTTCCACAGTCGTCTCCTAGGCATCAAAATTTAGGCCCTTAGCATAACTGACGAGTCCTAGAAGAGCATAATAGCTTTATGATGCAGCTTAATTCATTGATTGGCTCTACTGTGTCTAACTCTCAATTTTCATTAAAATGTGTTCTTTTGTACAATCTACTTATATCGATAAAGTAAAAATAAACTTATTAGAAAATTACCCATGACGTGTCGTGTGTTGGTATTTGTTGCTGTTCACTTTTAATATAAATGCGTCCATTTTTAAAAACATAAATGCCTCCATTTTTTATATATATATATAAATGCCACCGAAGTCGGAAAATGTCTTAGCCGCGAGATGTCGGTATTTACTATAAACACGTATTTTTTCGTCCTATTCAGACTATATAGAGCCCTCGAATGAGTAAATATATGCATCCTACCTGTGATATGACGTGAAAATCGCGCAGCACGTGGGACATCGCACTTCACTTCGCTAACTACACTACTACATTTCAGTATGCAAATTAGTCACGTGATTTTTTTCGTGACGGCCTATATAGGAAAAAAGCGATTACAAGGATGATTTGATTTCAAATAATTCTTTCGCGGGATTTGAAATTAGAAATTCAGTTTCCACGATGATAGACAAAGACCATGATGTATAATTTCAAATCGATCAAACGCATTTTAAAGTTGTCAGTTTAACGCTGTCATATGCACAACATGCTTCCGTTTCGAAATCATATGCCGTTTTGTTTACAAACATAAAACGTATTAATGTATCCTTATATTGGTCACTTGTGACTTGTTTTATGTTAAATTAACGAAAATAATAATTAAGTTTCATTTTTCATAAAACGCATGTTTTCACCGAGTCATTAAAAATCTCAACTCGAGAAAATAAAACTATTGTTAATAAACAGAATGAATACTATTTAATCAAAAAGAAGAAAACAGTATTCTAAAACGTTTTTATTGGCATTTTCATTCTTGACAAGGTACGTACCTGTACAAGAGTATCACATTGCAAACTAACCATTTATCAAATCATTCATTCAATATACATCAGTGTGATAATGTTGTTATAAAACGGTAGCTATACAATACGCTGTTCAACAACTAGAAACATAATTCATGGACATAAGTAATCCTTTTTCTCACGATTCATGCGATACTGACTGCTCTTCACGAAATTAAATATCAATAAATTCACACATAAAAAAATTCTGCCATTATTCACAAGAATGAACCAAACACAACCATTAAATTTTCAGCTTACATTTTCACAATCAACCTTACTTCTGTACACCCTGTTGTTCGTTTGTGATCGCCATTAAATTATAAGGAACTGTTTCGGATGTTATGTAATTAAAACAAAAGAGGTTATCAAAGAGAAATGTAACGTTCTTAACGTCGACGTTATAACATATTGACAAAAACAAAACTAGATCTCAAAACAAAAAATGTGCATCGACTCCCAATACAAAATCCAACACGGCGAAATCTTCCTTGCCAATGTTCAAAAGAACATAGATAAGCGATTCACTACTTCACTGAAATCAACAGTGTTTTTATATAACAGAATAAACAACATGTTATTGAATCATCAGTCTTAAAGGTTTGGCGAGTGATTAATCGTAGAATCAAAACACTTTCAGGTTCATAACTCAATGTTTCTATTTTTAACCCAAACTTTTTAACAAACACAACTTGAATTATCTAAGATTTATCTTCATTTTCTACCGCGAAAAGAATTCTGCGGAATTGTTTAAAATGAAAAAAATTAACTTCACTTAACCGTTGTTTCGTGAATTAAATCAGGAAAAATAAGGTTAACTGTCTACATTATGAATTTTCGTAACTTTGCGAAATCATTCAAAATTAAGTGTTTTATAAAAAAACATCTTGAAAGCGTGATTTATAATCATCATATAACTGCATTATATATCAAATATAGCACTAATATTTCCGAGAAAACAATCAATGCACCGTCTTTAAACGAGGCACGGAGAGAGAAAAAAATATCATCTCTTCGTATTGTTTTCGTTGGCGCGAGACAAGCAGACTTATAAAAAAAAAAGCGCCTTGCATCAGTTGAAATGCTGACAATTTCAAGACTGATCAAAAGTCATTTAAAGAGGATTTTTTTTTATACAATTGAACGAAAGGTTATTCACATAAATATCGTCATTCTTAGCACGAATTCCAAGTCTAACAAGTGAATTGGGAGTTCCGTCTAGATATAGTGATAATTCTATCTCCAAGTCCGAAGTCCTGTATCTGTAGAATTTTGATGGGGCTCATATGCTTTCTGGGAAATACTAAAGTTTTACATTGTGAGATCCATCGCTTGAAGCAATAAAGTTGAAAAGGCCTCAAGAATGTAGATTGTTGATCGATCACTGTTTTAATAGAATTTTCAAACCTATGCAATGAAATTCGTTTTGCCCCACTAAAACTTTCAATAAATTTTTGCAAATCATAATTGCACATACTTCCAGTTTCTGCTACCCACGAAGTATGGATCTAAAAAAAGGAAGCAATGATGCTGGAGGCAACGTCATGCAACTCTTAGAACGAATGTACGATTGTCACAAAAATGTTAATAAAAGTTTCACTTGTTGGCCTTCCATACAAGATTTCATAAAAAAGCAATGAAACAGGTACAAATTGTATTACCGTTTTGAATAATTTGATATGCATAATCAACTTAATAACAAGTATAATATAAGGACACAGTTACAACTGCTGTTACGTTTTCAATTTTTCTTCAGTGATAGAATGAAAACAGGAAATCAATATACTCATAAAACATTGTGAACATGATGATTAGATAAAAACATTCCTTTTATGACGAAAATGTTTTATGTCGAGATTAAACTCCTACTTTGCGAACATTTTAACTTTATCTACAATACGTACTTGGAGCAACATTAAAAATGGCAATGTTGACCACAGCATACACTTTAACACATCTTTGTACATTGCACATTGTCATGTATAAACAGACAAAAATATATGATAATGACATTTTGAATTATGCATACCTTTGCAAGGATTACACTTACTATGGATTCCGAGAACACATATATAATATTCTACTCTGCATCCTTTTCACTCTCTTGGCAGCTAATTGTCTTTAATGTACACATTCTATGTATCTATTGATACAACTCTTCATGTCCATTAAACATAAAAAAAATCACAAATGTTACCTTGGTAACAATGCAAGATATTATGAACAAAACAAACATTTGCAGTGAAAATCTATCACACTCAAACACCTGAATGTACAATTAAAAATCAAAAACCAAACAGATCTGTATAAAATGAACCCTTTAGGTGTGAAAATGTTGGTTACTTGCATTCCGTAAAAGTACACTGTTATGTCACAAAAGCAAAATACTAAGTAACACATAGTATTTTCTTATTTTCATTTCATACCAAGGGAAAAAATTACTTGTCTATTTTCATAAACACTATGGAATGTCCGGGATGCACTTTTTCAATATGTGGTGCTACTTCTCCCATGCCTAGTGGCACCACATCTGGACAATAAGGACATTTGAATACCCGCATCTGCCCTAAGCCTCCAATGTCTCGACTGTCCTTCATCATTATATCAGACTGAATTGGTGTTGATACTTCTTTAGGGGGCAAAACGTTTGGCATAGGCTGGTTTATAGCACGGCGTGGTGTGTAATGTCTAGGTACAGTTCTTGAATGCCTCGGAGCACGAGTGTACGGCGGAGGTCTGTTCATCATGGGTTGCCTTGCAGCTCTTACCATATGTGGAGACATTCTACTCATCTGCTGCATCTGCAGCTGTTGTCGGAATCTTGCCTGAATGGCAACCGGCGACATATTCCGAAGGGGCATGGGAGGAATCTGCTGCTGCACAATTGGGGAACGAATTTGCTGAGAAGAAGGACGAAGGTTGAAAATTTGGAATGCATCTGGCGGCAGATCATCAGCTTCATCATTACTATCTTTTGGTCGACTAGGAGGTGCAGGAGATTTACTCAAGTCTAAAGGAGCATAACCGTCTCCTTTTCTGTTGACTGGAGCCATAGAGCCGGGACTAGGGTTAAAGTCTTGGTAAGGAGACATTCTCATGTTGCCATCAGGACGTTGTTGTTGTTGAATATGTGTTGCTACTGAGGGGACACGTAAAACTGGTCGTGCAGTCGATATCTGACCAGCTGAACTTGCTATAACATGTCTGTCTTGTGAAGTATTAATTTTGGCAGTGGATAGATGTTGACCTTGCTGTTGAGAAATGACTCTTTGATTGGCATGTGAATATGTAGCATTAACGGCAACGTTTCCTGATGATTGACTAGCGTATGGCTTCATTAAATTTCCTACATTTTGCAAATGTGCTGATTTTCCGTCGGAAGGAAAACGAAGTAAAGGTGGAGGAGCCCTCATTAAAGGAGGAGGTACTGTTGTTGGCTGTGCTATTCTTGGAGGTGCTGACCCATGTCGGTTACGTGGAATGTTAAACTGCTGATAATTTTGATGTTCAAATGGATCCTTTCCTGAATGTTGTGACTGTGGTGGAATATGGTGTGGAGTTGACTTTCGAAGTGAGGATTTACTTTGTTGGAAATGTGCTGGTGGGGGATTTGCATTCTGCATAGGCATTCTCATACGTGTTTGTGGTGCTGGTATGTTGGCTGGCATTGATTTCGGTGAAGAGGTCATGTTTAGTCCACCGTGTTTATGACTCTCGCCTACCACAATCACTTCATCTTCAGTATCATGAGAACCTTTAGAAGCTTTTGCTCCCTGTTGAGACTTTTGTACTTGATTTGGTTTACTTGCTTTTTCCTTAACCAACGATTGCACTCTTGTGAATAAATTTTCCTCTATGGCAAGAGAGAGCATGATATCCTCGGTGCATTTTTTGTGTTCATTCTTGATGTGGTGAAACACCTGTGCTTCTGTCTTTGCTTTGAAAATTTTACAATAAGGACATACATACACAAACACTTCATGATGAGTCTTTTCAAGATGGTCATAGATGAAGTTCAGTGATGGCATATGTTTTTGACATTTCAAGCATTTATAGATGTCTTTTTCTACAACGAACTTATCTCCAACCTTCTTTGAATCTGCATCAACAGCTACCTGAATTGTCCTAAGGTGTCTCTTGGCAGCACTTGAAAGAGCTACTGGAGGACTTTTCTGATCAGGTGTTTGATGGAACTGTTTGATATGGCGGTGTATCTCCGGTTCATTTGAACCCTCGTATTGTCTACAATACGGACATAAGAATAATCTTTGTATGTCTTTATGTGTAACTCGTAAATGCTCCACCATAGCTGACAGAATTGGGGCATGAACATTGCACTTTTCACACTTATAAGTTGTTCCAAAACACTCTTGTTTGTCGCTGTTCTTCATGTTCTGCTGTTGCTTTTGTTGAAGTCTTTGCTGTTTCTGACGCTGTTCATACTGCAACTGAAGCTGGGCATGTTGTGGGTCTGCATTTAACTGACTGTTTGGTAATTGCCGAAGGTCAGCTGCCTTTGGAGTCTTGCTATTTGTATTGGCTTGTCCAACAGCTGTAGTATTTTGAGTTTTTTCTTGTTGTGGTTCTGCTTGTTGATTCCATGTATTTGCCAGGTCAGACAAACTCACAACATCCACAATCTTTAAGCCCATGTCGTTATTTTCAATGACAGGTTCCTGGTGCAAAATGAGAGGTTGTTGAATACCCATGCCTGTTGCCACAAGTGGTAGGCTGAAAGACAAAATAAATAAATACATATTACCAATAATTACAAAATCCAATAGTCAGAAACTTAAATTACTATAATCACTATGGATCTAACGGAATAATAGTCAGTTTCACTCAATTAGAAATGGAACATTTCTTTAAAACCACTAAAGTGTAGGACTTAAGGCTTACCTTGAAGGACCTGCAATTGTTGGCACAGCTGCATAGACTACAGGTATCCCTTGAATTCCGTTATTCAGATTTGAAGTCTGTTCCATTGTGGGCTGGTAGGATTTTCCCAATTCTTCAATGCCATCCACTAGGTCCTCCTTATTTGTAGAAACCTCCATTTCAGCTGTTGTACTATCAGCCTCAGCACTAGTTTTCTGAACTTGTGGCCTACCATTGGATCCTTGTGGATCATTAGTAAACAGGTCACTCATCCTGTCAAAGATATTCCCTTTATCAGCATTGATCGTGTTCTGTTGGTTCTTTGTTACATCATAAAATTCAGGCAGGCACTTGTAAGTTACAGGTTGATTTGGATGAGCCTTTGCAAAGTGATCTGGTATCCCTTCTTTGGAGCCTGATATTGGCATATTGCACAAAGTACAAGTATACTGAATGTCATTACTATGGAATGAATGAATATGGTTCAGAATGTCCTGCTGACTAGGTGCCGAAAAATCACAGTGGCTACAGCAATAGCAACCTGTTGTTACTGAAGTAGCTGTCGGCGCAACAGGATCAGGTGATGAATCAATTACTGTTGTTTCTCTTGATGGCGACTGCAGAGAACTTGGCACAGTCTGTTTGATTTCTTTGTAGTAGAGACGTTCCTCTACTTTTTCTGCGGCTTCCATTCTAGCGTCTAGATCTGGATGTGTACTTCGCATGTGAAGAAATGTGAGTCCACGTGACTGGAACACTTCATTACAATGTACACATCGGAAGGGAATGTTTTTCAAATGAACATAGATATGAGACTCCATCACACGCTTTGTTTCAGACACAAACCCACATGCACTGTGAGTACATTGGAAGACTGTCGTGCTATCTTGATCTTTGTTGACAGAATGTGATTGCTTTGATAAAGCAGTTTCTTCGTCCGTAATTGTTTCAAAGGAAAATGTCTGGTTTGCAGTTTTTGTATTCTTTTGTTTCCTGTGCGCTTTAACTTTGAGTTCATTCCCACTATTCTGATAAAACTCCACAAAACTGTTCTCAAAACTACTTTTTCCACTGTCTGTGTTCTTACCGGCTGTATTTTCAGCAGTTCCATCTGTACCCTGGAACAATAAACTTCCTGTTTTAAGTAATCCTTTTCCAGAGGGCATTCCCTTCCTTGCTGTTCGTCTTTTCTTGACAGTGAATTTCATACCCTTCTTTGACCTTGGCTTTGGCTTTGCTATTATATTTTGTTTAATTTTAAGGCGAAGTGGTGGAACAGTCTGTGTCTCATCTCCAGTAAAGAAAGGATTTGACACAATTTCTGCTGTAAGCTGTGCACTATATGTGACAGGTCGTGCCTGTTTTCTTGCAGACGGCTTTCTCTTTTTCTTTGTCGGCTTGTTCTCATCAACTTTGTTATAATTAATTTTAGCATCATCATCGCTCTTTAATGGCACATTCATATCTTGATTTTGCTCCTCTTCTGACAATTTCGGTAGTAGTTCATTTTCTACTTCCTGTGTTTCTTCATGAACACTACTCTCTGCACTCTCTTCAGAAAGAGTTGTTTCTGTGTCTTCAATAGTTTCCCATTCTTCCATCACAGAACCAGACTCCACACTGTATGAGCTGTTGGTCATTTTCAGGTATTTGACAAAATCTATGAGTACAACCGAACATGCTTTGCAGTCAGTTTGAGTTGAAATGATTTTTTTATGTTCATTCTCTTTCTCTATTTGTTCTTCTGCATTGTTGGCCTTTTCACCTTTCTCTTCTGATACCTTCAATTCATCTGAATCTTCTTTATCCTGATTTTCTTCTGTAATATGTTCTGCGACTCTGACTTTCTCGTCTTTCTTCCGGTCTTCTTTCTTTTCCATATTATCATTTTCTATCTTTTTTATCCTTTCCCTCATCTTTTTCTGTTTCTCCTCACGTTTCATTGCCTTTTGAGTTTGCTCTAGTATGTATTGTCTTTCCTCCTGACTTTGACGCATGGCAATAATTTCAAGTGGTGACCTTGATGCCTTTTGTCTTAATTGGAATTCTCGTTTAACACCAAGTTTCTTTTCAGCATCTACTTTTGTGTCTGTACGTTCGTCATCTGACATAGGACTGACCTTTCCACTTTTACCACCAGTATCATCCTTTTTCTTGTAGGATTCTTCTGTATATTGAGACACAGAATTGTACATATCAACTTCGTTACTCTCTAATGACACATCCAAGTTATCGTTTCGGTCAGCATCATTACAACTGGTGTCTTGATATTGAATGGTAGATGTTTCCGAATCATTGACGTCTGATCCACTTTTACTATCATCAGTTATATCTTGCTTTCCAACAGACATTTTCAGAGATTCACAGTTTTCTCCAGAACCAGTTTGAGAACAATCCATTTCAATGTTTTCACTTTTGCAACCTGTTTCCTTTGACATATTTCCTAATAATACCTGGTTGGTAGAATCATTCATATTAGATGTGTCCATTTGGTTAATTTCTTTGTCATTTACAAATGGTGTCACTGGCAGTTCCTCATTTCTAGGTTCCAAGCACGTACTTGGATCTTTTCCATTTAAATCTGAAGACGTAACTTGATTTTCTTGTTCAACCTTTTCCAAAACTGAACTCTCACATGTTGGTGACTGAATAACAGTTGCAGAAACAAACAGAGCATTGTCTTCTCTTGGGATTTCACATTCCTTTGCAATATTTTCTATTTCTGGATCCAAAGAAGAATTTTTTATTTCACATTTGGCAATGCTTACTTCAGACAAAGATGTTTTGTTTGCATTGTTTTCCTGAAACAACTTATGATCCTTGTCAGAAACGCTATCTTTCATTAAAGAATCTGCATTGGATTGACCACTACCATCAACACATTTCACCACAGTTGAAACGTCAACAGAACTGAAAGATTCTTCCTCTGTTTTTGACATAATGTCAGCTTTTGTTTCTTTTTTTGAAATGTCTTCCTTAGGAGGTACTACATTTTCCTTTGTATCAATAGAAATATGCACTGATTTAACAACACTTTCATCAGTTTGTTTAAGTTCCATGTCAAATGAAATATCAGGTTTTATCGCAGACTGCATGTCATTCTCACTGTATTTTTCAGTAGTAGAGCTAACTTCTTCCTTAAAAGGAACATCCAATTTTATATCAGTTTCATGTCCCTGTAGATTGTCATTGATACAAAGCTTTTGCTTAGGCTGTTCAACACTCTTCCGCATGAACACTAATCCTCCTGGTCCAATAATCTGAAGACCTGTTCTTGGAACAGTCACATTGTTCTTTTTCAGTAGCATATTTCGAGCTCGCTCTTGAGCACATTTTGGACCTAATAGTTTGGGTTTTTTTCCAGCTTTGATTTGCTCAGAGGCTGAGTGAAGTGGTTTTCCTCTTGGAGGCCGACCACGTTTCTTTGGATGTTCTGAAATAAAATCGTTATTTTGCATTACTGTATAAGTATCATTTGTAGGTGTGCCAGACACAGCTTTTTTCATCGAGGGTGAAGTATCTCTGTCATCATTTGGAATGCAGTTTCTGCTGACTTGTTTTTTAGACATATCTACTGAAACTTTCAAGCCACTTGTAACACTTGCACACTCTTCTTCGGAGTCATCCAATTTTGCTGAGCTCTTTTGAATGCATTCAGAAAAGTCACTATCTACATCAGACTGGTGGTCCTCATCCTGCCGAAGTCTCTTCCTAAGTAAATTTTCATCTAGCAGTTCAAATTCTCCACTTAGTGTTCTCTTTCTTGGCTTACGATTAGCCTGAACTAGACTTGCTTTCATCCCTTTACTCTTTCTGGTCATAAGACTATCTTGACTTCTCAACAATTTGGCAGGTCCTAATGTAATACCTGTCCTATTTACATGTTTGAATTTCTTTTTCACTGATACAGAACTAACACTGGAGCTAACACTTTCTGTTTCAACTTCAGAGTCCACCCTACTGTCAGAATCTGCGGAATCATCACAAGATATGTTTTCTACATTTTTTTTCATGAACTTTCCAATCAGTGACTTTTTAAACACTTTTTGGTTAAGATTTGTCCAAGACTGTACTTTGCTCATGCTTTCTGCTGTTTTCTGATCATCAACAGAGCAAGCCAGCATAGACTCGGATCCTTGAGTCGGCTTTTTCTTCGGTGGTCGTCCTCTCTTGCGTGGTATGGGAACAGATTCTGTCTCATCATTCGCAAGATCTGAAGCAGCCTCATTCTTTCCTTTTCCAGTCTTTTTGGTAACACTTTTGCCAGATTTTTGAAGTAATCTCTCTTCATTTTCAACTAATGTTGTGTCTCCATTACTGATCATGTTTGGAGAGTCTTCACCATCTGATGAATTTTTCCCTTTTGCAGATGTAGAAACCTTACTTGCAGAATATTTTTTTCTCAATACAGCCTTCACAAGTGATGTTCTTGCATCATACTTCAGGGCAGTCCCTTGCTTTCCTGCATCTGCTATTTTCTTGCCAATACCTCTGGCCAATTTCACCCCAGTCTGGTTGAACTTCCATTTTACAGGAGCACCTGTTTCATCACGGCTTAGATTGTCCAGAAAATTGACAATTTGTCTATACCCAGTGGATGACTTAGCCTTGCTCCTGGTAATCAGCTTTGCTGGGATCTTTGGAATGGTCTGAAAAGAGAAAATAAACCAATAGAGCAAATGTGTCTTTTTCATTTAACTTCATCATATAAGTGAAAAATGTTTTATTACATTAATTTAATGTGTTTATGCACTACTACTCTGTATATCAGTGGTCCTATTTATATTAATGATGTAATCTATTATCCTTGAAGAGTTGTTAATGATAATCTTTGAAAGAAATATTATCATAAAATCAATAGGCTATGTTGACAGTTGACTTGCTTACTACTAATCTGTCAAATATAACAAGATATGCAGATTAAGACCATTTGGTTCTTTGAATGAAAACTTCTTTATTCTTTCACCTGTGTTCATCTGAGTGAAAGTCAATATCCTAGGTCTTACGATGAGGCTGTTTACATACGGAAACTTCATATTAACCAGCATGCCATGTTGTGATTCATTTAAATAGTGGCATTCTACCCCAAACCAAATGTATCTAATTTGCATTTGTTTTTTTTTAAATAATGCAACTGGTATACGTGACCAGAACTATGCATGCACCAACTATTGAAATTTTCATTCCATAATTTTCAGCTGAGCATATCAAGATAAAATCAATAGGAAGGAAGCTGTAAGATTATTGTCTGTGTACTCTAAACAATCTAAATGGTTGCTACATTGAAAAAACCCAGCATAAATTCAATGTGTGTGTTTTAGACTGTAACATATAATTTGTTAAGTACCTTGTCAGAAAAATGTACTGCCTTCATAAGAGAAATAAAAAGACATCTCAAATATATATTGTAAGCTGTTCCTGGAAGTACACCTATGCTGAACATGTTATTTTCTGAAAATGCTGATTAATCAAATCTCAGTTCCATCTCTCAATAGATGTCGTGTATTGTCATACTATGTATATATCCCTTTAGATTATAAAATAATCAGCAGCATTCCATTAGGTAAGCAGTCATGTGATGTCTCTTAATAACATACTAGATATTCATGACCTACACGACATATTAAGATCCTTATTTATAAAAACATTGTAGCATAATTTGAAAAAAAAGATATTAGAATAATTTAAAGTGAATATAGCTCTGGGGAGTGATCAAAACAGGTTCGAACAGTCTTTAAATCAATCATACATTGCCAAACTGTCTGTCATAGCTGTATCAATTTATACAAACACTCTCCTAAACCATCTATTATACATGTTATCAATATGGAATGAACTTTTGCAGGGTCTGTTATCTAGCAAACAGAGAATATGTCACATTCTACTGCATACATCATTCTCACCAAGAACTGTTCCTGCAACCCTTAGCAATGCCAGGGGAAAAGGAACGGCTAGCAATTTAACTCAATGAAAATATGATGTGTAATTTTTGTTTTACATTTTTCTGCCATCACTTATGCAGACTGTTACACAACAAAGCCAAATATTTGGATTGAAAAGTTGTAGAATCATGTATAATGAGTGGGTGTATCATATATGCATATTACGTAAACTCAATATGATATCTAAGTTTACAATACTGATAGCTAAAATAAACATATGTAGTTGATTTATTTTCTATATGTAGTTGTATTATGTATACATATAGTAGTATTATTCTATACATTGTATTATTCTATACATATAGTTGTATTATTCTATACATTGTATTATTCTATACATATAGTTGTATTATTCTATACATAGAGTTGTATTATTCTCTACATTGTATTATTCTATACATTGTATTATTCTATACATATAGTTGTATTATTCTATACATTGTATTATTCTATACATTGTATTATTCTATACATATAGTTGTATTATTCTATACATTGTATTATTCTATACATTGTATTATTCTATACATATAGTTGTATTATTCTATACATTGTATTATTCTATACATATAGTTGTATTATTCTATACATATAGCTGTATTATTCTATACATTGTATTATTCTATACATATAGTTGTATTATTCTATACATATAGTTGTATTATTCTATACATTGTATTATTCTATACATTGTATTATTCTATACATATAGTTGTATTATTCTATACATTGTATTATTCTATACATATAGTTGTATTATTCTATACATTGTATTATTTTATACATATAGTAGTATTATTCTATACATATAGTTGTATTATTCTATACATTGTATTATTCTATACATTGTATTATTCTATACATATAGTTGTATTATTCTATACATTGTATTATTCTATACATATAGTTGTATTATTCTATACATTGTATTATTCTATACATTGTATTATTCTATACATTGTATTATTCTATACATTGTATTATTCTATACATATAGTTGTATTATTCTATACATTGTATTATTCTATACATATAGTTATATTAATCTATACATTGTATTATTCTATACATTGTATTATTCTATTCATTGTATTATATACATTGTATTATTCTATACATATAGTTGTATTATTCTATACATTGTATTATTCTATACATATAGCTGTATTATTCTATACATTGTATTATTCTATACATATAGTTGTATTATTCTATACATTGTATTATTATATACATTGTATTATTCTATACATTGTATTATTCTATACATTGTATTATTCTATACATATAGTTGTATTATTCTATACATATAGTTGTATTATTCTATACATTGTATTATTCTATACATTGTATTATTCTATACATTGTATTATTCTATACATTGTATTATTCTATACATATAGTTGTATTATCTATACATTGTATTACATATACATTGTATTATTCTATACATTGTATTATTCTATACATTGTATTATTCTATACATATAGTTGTATTATTCTATACATGTAGTTGCTTTTTTATAAACTGACACAAGTATTAAAAGTAGTCATTATGTTAATGAGTACAGTGCTGTATATTTTTTATCATTACATGTGCTTCCCAGTTGTGCTGATTCATAATTACATATTCTATATCTTATTGAAAGAATTAAAATTTTCTGTCTTTATTCATCTGCTATATAACCGTGTTAGAATTTCAATCATTACTTCATATTCTATGTAACAGTGTTAGAATTTCAATCATTACTTCACATTCTATGTAACAGCATCAGAATTTCTCGTTGATTAGTAATCAATTACAGGAAATTACCTCAAATGATTTATTTATAATTTATATGTAATAGTGCCTACTACACCTGTAATTTCAGTATGCAAATTGGTCATGTGGCTGTTAGAATCATCATCACATACTGGTTTGTATTTTCAGTGGTATTAACCCACAAAGGAATTCTTAAAAGATACCACCTAACTTAAGTAGGTTTTATGTTGAATTAGCATAATTGTCAAGTGGAATTTTTCACATAAACTTTCTAAATCTCGTACATTTGCCAAATGATGCTTAAATTGGAGCTTTAGCACTTGTTTACATGGTCCCTAGATGAAGTGTACAATTCCTCATCTTTGTATTTATTGCTTGCTAAATAGTACACATTCTTGTAATTACTTTTTGGCACAATGGTAGCTTAAATCCCTAAATTTGATGTTTAAATGTGAAGAGCCATGCAAGATAACTATTGGTAATTGTGATATTACATGATATATATTTTTGCAAAAAGTTAAAAACATTGATTTAATCATTTGCTCTTTGAGTTTCTTTGATGTTGTTGGCATTGTCAAAGATGCTTTTACCCTACCTACTGCTTCTTGTATAATGGACCATTAAATTGAAATCACCACTGTGAAGTAATTTGTTATTTTTAAACGTTTAATAAGAACCATTTGTTATCAGATGTAAATATAAGTGTAAGTACATATGGAGTAAGCCATATTTAAATAGACTGTGATGCAGGTACACAAAACATATTGCCATCCTCAAATGCGAAGAGTTTTTTGTTTTTAGGTTCTACAAACATACATACACATCTAAAATACTAATAGAGCAGAATCATTTTTCTATCAAGCACTGAAAATTTTTATTGTGAAAATTTGTTCTGTTTCCACCACTTTTGAATTTCTTTATTGAATTAAGTCCAGTTGGTAATAAACCATCTATAACTGAAGCAATTCATTGGAAATGCAAATCTTTGTACTCTGTTGTCCAGACACTTCATTCCATTGTTCTGTTCTGTGTGAGAGTATATAGGAGGCATTAGAATCTAGACTCAATGCTTTATAATCAAATGTTGATGACACACTGAAGTAGTTACTGGAAATAGCTTTTTTCATAGAACAGTTTTCTAGGGAAGAATCAGAAACAATTTTCTACAGAAAAGTCTGGAGTTATGAACGAGTTGTCACAGGTCCAGCTGATGGTTCTCAAATGGTAGCAGAAAACATTACACAAAAGCAGGAGACAGGAGAAATTCTCAAATGGTAGCAGAAGACGGGTACACAACAACAGAAGATGGGAGAAATTCTCAAACGGTAGCAGAAAACATTACACAACAGCAGAAGATGGGAGAAATTCTTTAACAGACCAGTCATATATAGAGCAGCAGGTAACCAAGAAGAATGAAGAAGGACAGAGGCTGGAATAATAAGCTATTATGATATTATGATACATTTCACATATTTTACAAAAATTGAGAAACAAGTTACTGCAACTTATATCAATGACTCTTGTTGGCCTGGAAGTAAGTGTAACATCATAAGAATGTGTCAGTAGAATTGGAACGATGCTATAGGATATAGAGGGTTGTTGACATGTAATATACTGGACAGCAGAGGGTTGTTGACATGTAATATACAGGATAACACAGGGTTGACATGTAATATACAGGATAGCAGAGGGTTGTTGACATGTAATATAAAGGATAACAGAGGGTTGTTGACATGTCATATACAGGATAACAGAGGGTTGTTGACATGTCATATACAGGATAACATAGGGTTGTTGACATGTAATATACAGGATAACAGAAGGTTGTTGACATGTCATATACAGGGTAACACAGGGTTGACATGTAATATACAGGGTAACAGAGGGTTGTTGACATGTAATATACAGGATAGCAGAGGGTTGTTGACATGTAATATACAGGGTA